CACCTCACGTATCGGTCTGGTCGGTCACTTTCGAATCCATCGCACAGAGACTAACGAACCAGCTCCTGGAGCACCAATCTACACTCATCGCATCCGCCCCCACTGTCCACAGTGCACCCACACATTTATTAACCGCATGGGTCTACTAGACCACATGCGCGTCCACGAAAACCCGTGGTGGACAACCGCCGGCTGCACCAAACCATCACACCCTCCCTCACCACCACCTCATCGCACGTCAACATCACCCACCACAAGCATTTAAATGCCACCTCCTGCGCAAGTGGGAAATTTGCGCCTTGACTCCGTCTCCACGCGCCTCCTTTGCTGCATGTGTGATTCGAGTCCGAGACTATCACGGCGCATCAAGCTTCGTGGCTTGGAAGACTGCTGACTGACACCCCAAATCAGCCCACGCAGTCCGTCGATTTGTGTGTGTTTTATGTGAAGTGGCGAGCTGGTGGGCTGCGAGCCAGGCTGTCACGGCCCCTTCTCAAGCGATGTGTGACATTCTCATGTATGTGAGGAGTGTGTGTGTGTGCCTTATGGGTAGTGCCTCTCAGTCGACGACTGGTTGGTTACCTTATCTTGAAGGGTGACGCACAGGCTAAATTCAGGACCTCGTGTCGCCCCTCTAGGTCAAAAAGTCTGAAAGCGTGTGCTATCTCAGTATCAGCAAACCATGGCGGTCGCAGCCTGGAATGCGCTGGCAGATCCCTGACATCTGGTTCCCTGACGGTAGATGCGTATGCGTTCCCGGTGGGTATACAGGTAGTAGGCATGACTGCCCAGTCATCATCGTCCTTCTGACCCCTGTCGAGGTGTTGCTGATCTAAACATGGTCATTTGCCGTGTGAATCAGGGAGTGTGGAGTGGAACTCCAAGGTATATACTCGACCGCACCATCTACTTGCTCCTCACCCCCCCCCCTTCGGTCTTCTTGATTCTGTCTTGACACCGGGTCCAGGTGGGGAGTGGGAAAGAGAGAGTACAGTAGATGCTGCTCAAGTCTACTACCACCATAAACTAATTCACTCACAAGTCACCGTCCCTGCTCTACCTTGCTGTGGGACACACGGTGGGCATCGTCGAAATTGACGGTGAAACTGTCGGATGTCATGTGACTTTGGAAAAGTTTCCGGGGTCTTTCTATTCGCAGCCTCTGCTTCTTCTGCATTTGTTTTTATGGTGAGCTCCAATTCAACCTAACACATTGGTGGCAACGTGTGATTCTTGGCTAACTGAACGAATACTCTTTCGTAATTGGTCATGAAAAGGAGGGATTTGGCATTAAACTGAATTCTAGCTCTCCCTTTCTCTCCAGAAGGAAACTCACTGCGCTGCGTCAAGAAGATGCCAACACTGGCTCATGACATGTTCTAACTAAGCTGTGGCAAGTCTGCGCGTGTCTATAACCGTTGGCATTTCGTTCTTGCGACACACCTTGATGGAGCCTTTCATGCCAGATGTCAGACATTGCGTCCAACTCCATTGCCAGTCTGTGGGGCTGTTCGTTCAGATAGACTGAGGCCGATTTTCGTGTGTTTAGCTATGCGGACGTTGGTCTTTAACAAGCAGGGCCACCATAGGAGAGCAATAAGAGATGGGGGGAAGGATTCATGGCTCAGTAAGAGGCCAGTTTGTGGTAGACAGCCGCCGGCTACACCACACCATTGCATTTCCCCCCACCAGCACCAGCACCTCCCTACACCATCACAAGCACCTAACTGCCACCTCCCACTTGCGTGGGAAGTGTGCTTCTCGACTCCTTCTCCATGCGGCTTCTCTGCTACCTGTGTGATACAGGTCCGATACTATCACGATGCGTCGAGCAGCGTAGCTTGGAAGGCTGCTGACTGACGCCACTGCTCACTCCACGCAGTCTGCCCAGTTGTGTGGGTTTGTGTGGAGTGACGGACTGGTGGGCTGAGAGCCAGGCTGTCATGGTTCCGTCTTTGCTGGTCTGTGACACTCTCGCGCGTGTGAGGGGTAGGTGTGTGCTTTATGGGTAGTGCCTCCCAGTCGAAGACTGTTTGGTCACCCAGCCTTTGAAGGGTGATGGCTCAGGCAAATGCAGGGTCCCGTGCCACCCTTTTGGGCCTAAAGGTCTGTAAGCGTCTGCTATGCCATGATCAGCAAACCATGGGTCTCACAACCTGCTATGTACTGGCAGTTATTTGACAGCTGGTTCCCTGCCGGTAGATGAGCTTGCGCTCCAGCTGGGTGTACAGGTTGTGAGCATGGCCATCCAGTCGTCGTCGTCGTCGTCGTCGTCGTCGTCGTCGTCGTCGTCGTCCTCCTCCTCCTCCTCCTCCTCCTCCTCCTCCTCCTCCTCCTCCTCTCCCTCTTTCTGACCGGTTGTGGTGCTGTTGTTGTTAGTTAAAACCCTGGCAAATGTTCGTTGTGAACCAGGGGGTGCGGATTTGAGCGCCAAGATGTGGGCTCGGCCGCACCATCCACCTGCGCCATCCCCCCGGTCTTCCAGACTATATCTTGACATTGGGTCCAGGTGGGATGAGGAGAGGGTGCGGCAGATTCCGCACAGGTCTACACTCACTGTAAACCAAATCATGCGCAAGTCACCGTACCTGCTTCGCCTTGCTGTGGAGCACACGGTGGGCATCGTTGGATGCGACGGTCGAACTGTCATGAGGCCAAATCAGCGGTTGAGTACCGCAAAAAGCTGGATTAAACGGCAAATCTAATACTCTGTTATTTTACTACAATTTAAACGTACCGAGAAACAAGGAAACCAACAAACATTAGGTGGTAAGTGTCACTGGTATATCGGAAGGCGAAATTTGATTCGTAAGCACTTCAAGTGAACGATAGTTTGACTGTAGTGTACGATGAGGTCCACCGTGCGCTCCAGATCGTGATGGGCGCAGAACGGCGACTTGCGCAGCGTCTGGCGTACTCCCTCCTCTCTCATCCGCCTGGGTCGGAGGATAAGGTAGAATCAAGACGACCGGAGGTGGACTCGAGAACAGTGGCCGACAAAGTTAACCAGCCGGTCTGCGTGTGTCGCACACGGCTTGGACTCGCGGACATGTATCAGGTTTTGTAAGAAAAATAAAGAAACTGATCCGAGCAAAACAAAGAAAGAATAAGAGGCTGCGGGATCTGACGAACAGGTATTTTGAAATTAGTGGCAGTATGAGTCTGTTGCGACCGGTTATCCACTGAGCTAAGTGCCAATGTAAAAATAGTCCTAAAGAGCGGTAGATTAATGGCCAGCCTAGCTTGTCACGTCAAAGCGAACGGTTAAGTTCTTGGGTAGACTGCTCTCCTAAATAGGCCAGGAAAACACGAAGTTGACCATCGGACTGACCAAGCATGTTCGAACTTCGCCCGACCCATCGCCGAAACGCTGAAATCGTCGTAATAACAATTTGGAGACCATTCCATGATTATGCGTGGGCTTCGTTAAGACAGCCTGGACAACCAAGACTACGCAGAAGTTAGACATATCCAATGCGCCCTGCGGACGTCCATAGATTGGAAGTATTCAAACGACGGTATCTTCACTCACTATCCGATCATTTCTCGAACGAAAGGTCACATTAGACGTAGACTCTTGCGATATAAGCTGTGCACAGGACATCACTTCTCGACTTAAGAATATGTTTGTGTTACGGTACTAGGAACGACCTGAAGCAAGGTGATAAAGAACCTAGCTACGTACTACCTAATTTTTTGTTTATACCGGACGTAGGATTGCGGTTATTCCCCGAACTTCCGCGCTTCGTCTCACTGGAGGGTGAAAGTCACATAAATTCCCCCAGCAAAATAACCCCGTTATATACATTAAGGTCTCTGCCTCATTTGTGTTCTAAATTTCCTCAATCAGATATGGCCATTCGACCGTGGAGTCAGACGATGCCCGTCGCATGCTCCGCAGCAGGGTGGGTACAGAGGCGATGGCTTGTGCGGGAATTAGTTTTTAATGGTAGTGGACTTGCGTAGCATCTGCTGCACTCCCTCTTCTTCTCCATCTTGTCAAGACAGAGTCAAGAAGGCCGGAGGGGGGGAAGAGGGGACGCAAGTGGGGAAAACGCGCACATCTAGTGTGTGCTACCACATTATCTCAAATCCCACCGAGTGGGGATGCCGCAGGAGCCACGTTAAGAAGAAACAATTCGACTCTCAGTCCGCCAGTCGTCCACTCCACTGGGTTGACTGAAAGGTTCGAGTTATCCCATCAGTTGGTAGCCTTTCGAACCACGGCTTTTATCGCACCGTGGTAGGTTCATTAGTTTCAGATTTTTTATTGGGAGGAATATGCGCTGGGACCATCGACCTCTCTTGCTGTCTATCCCCCTCGCTCGCTTTCCACTCCCAGGTATCGGCCCACTGTCCGAGCCGGTCATTTGTCTGATGCGGGAACTGGACGCATTGGCTGAAGGAGCTAGAGACCTCGCTTCCGCGCACCACGCACACGACCTGGCTACTCACACAACCAGGACTTCACGCAAATGTGGTAGGTGGCTCGGATCTCACATGTGTGAGAGTGCCATAGAGGTCACATTAAGAAGGGTTCATCGCAGTCTGACTGATAGTCCATCAGTCAGCCACTCCACGCACAGGCACGCACTGGGTTACCTGCGAGGTCTGAGTTGAATCATCCATTGGCCACCTTCCAAGCCACGGTTTTTAGCGCACCCTGATAGTCTCAAGCGTATCAGATTGTTTATAGAGAGGAATTATGAGTTCAGAGTCGACATCACTCTCTCTCTCTCTCTCTCTCTCTCGGAACCTCAGAAGTCCACGCAGGATTAAGGCGAGTATTTCCATGTGATTATTATGGGAGACAAGAACTGAATGAAGGACAAGGCAAACTTACTGAAGTTAACAAATCAACACTATATCAGGGCAAGACAAAACAAGGACTTCAAAAAGTGGGATACGTGTTTGTATGTATATACACAAAACAACTGCGAAGTACGGGAAAAAGAAGTTGCCGATATACACATATATGTGGAGTAGGAAAATAATCTGCCCAACAACTTAGCTATCAGGAACAGCAAAGTTGAGCGACGTCGTTTGGCAATTTCTAACCCTATGCAACTTTTCAGAAGTATGTTACAAAGAGTGTGCTTGCGAGAAGAGGACTTGAAAACTTCAGCGTCTTGAAATCCTTCTGAAAAATAACGAGAAAGGCCGTAGGCCGAAATAATTATGCTGACAAAGCGATTAACGAATGGCACCGAGGGCGGGGATGTGGCGTGGCCTAAAACCAATCATATTGCAGGCAGTCTTAAGGACTATTCAGGGGAGGGGGAAGTAAGGGTGGCTATGAGCCAGTGCAACTGAACTTGGCCCTGCACGTCTTTCTGTTGTTCACTCGACGGTAGTTGACCCACGGGGGTGTAGGGGTGTCAGCGGTGGGTTCACGTAATGGTCGTGGTGGTCGCTCACTTGCTTGCAGGTGAGACTGCGCCTAGCGTCCACTTGCTGGCACTCAACTCTCACCTGTGGCTCCACGTAGCTGGGCTCTGCTCAGCGGCCACATCCCGAGCAACCGTCTCGACCGGCGGGCTAAACCAGGTGAGGGGGCCCTGTGCGCTGTGCCGTGTGCACAGGGTTTGCGGATTCCGCTGGATGGAAGGTCGGATGGAACCTTGCGTCGGCACCGTCGTGACGTGGTTCGTCTCTGCACGTCGCTTGACAGCCGGTGACGGGATGGATCTCCACATCGACATCGCCTTGACGCGCCCACCCTCGCCGACGGAGACCGCGGCTTACGGCGAATTCGAGTCGCTCTCCACTACAACCCGAAGTCGTGGTCCCATAGTGGAGTTCGGCCGTGCCACAACGGCACATGGCAGCCCTATTCAGGGATGGCACTGCCAGCCCCCACGAGGGGAAGGGCCTAGAAAAGGTGGCCTAAACATTGCTGGGTACCACGCCGTCTCCAGGCTAGCCAGGGCCGCAGACGTCTAAACATGGTCGAAACAATCAAAATCGAAACAACAACAATACCAATAACAACAACAACCATACTCATTCTCCTCATCCTACCTCTTCTTCTTCTTCTTCTACCTCCGTCTATTCTTCTGCCTATTCTTCTCCTTCGTCATCTTCTTCTCCCTCTCCTTCCCGTCGCCCCACTCGTTGTCACCAGACTGGCAGGGTGAGCGCGCTCACTCTGGCAGCCTGGAATGTTTGTTCCCTTTTAGACAACCCGAGGAGCAACCGACCGGAGCGGAGGACGGCGCTAGTGGCACGAGAACTGGCGCGCTACAAGGTGGACATCGCCGCACTCAGCGAGACCCGTTTCTCCGAACAAGGCCAACTGGAGGAGGTGGGTGCCGGCTACACCTTCTTCTGGAGCGGTCGACCCAGGGCAGAGCGACGGGACGCGGGCGTCGCCTTCGCCATTCGGAACGACATCGTGGGACGACTGCCCTGTTTGCCGCAGGGCATCAACGATCGCCTGATGAGCCTCCGCCTGCCTCTCTGGGGAGGCAAATTCGCCACCATCATCAGCGCCTACGCTCCGACCATGACCAACCCCGACGCCGTCAGAGACAAATTCTACGAGGACCTGCACGCCCTCTTGGCGACTGTGTCGAAGGCGGACAAGTTGATTGTCCTTGGCGACTTCAACGCCCGAGTCGGCACAGACCATACTGCCTGGAGAGGAGTGCTGGGTCCCCACGGTCTCCGCGGCTCAAACGACAATGGTCTGCTGCTTCTCCGCACCTGCGCAATACACCGCCTTATCCTGACGAACACGTTCTTCTGTCTGCCGGAGCGAGAGAAGGCCACCTGGAGGCATCCTCGGTCGCGCCAGTGGCACCTGCTGGACTATGTCCTCGTCCGGAGGCGAGATCAGCGGGACGTGCTGGTGACGAAGGCGATCGCGTGTGCTGACGGGTGGACCGACCATCGCCTCGTCATCTCGAAGATGCGTATTCGCCTACAGCCTCACAGGAGACCACAAGGTAAGCGCCCCCCAGGTAAGCTGAATGTTGCCTTGTTGTCTTTGCCCGCTCACCATCTTCATTTCAGCAATGAGCTAGCTCAACGACTAGACAACCTTCCTATCGCTGCCGCCGCCGACGACGCCGCCGCCGCCGCTGCCGAGAACGCCTCCGTGGAGAACCGCTGGTGTCAACTGCGAGACACGGTCCAGTCGACGGCGCTCGCCGTCCTCGGTCGCGCTCCCCGCCAACACCAGGACTGGTTCGACGACAACGACGCCGCCATCAGAAATCTGCTAGCTGAGAAGAACCGCCTACACAAAGCCTACGTAGATCATCCCACTGATGCCACCAAAGCTGCCTTCTACCGCAGTCGCCGCCAACTTCAGCAACGACTGCGCGAGATGCAGTCTGGACTGCTCGCAAAGCTGAGGAGATCCAAGGCTACGCGGACCGCAACGAATGGAAGAACTTCTTCTCTGCGATCAAAGCTGTCTACGATCCGCCGACGAAGGGCACCGCTCCTCTCCTCAGCGCCGACGGCAACACTCTCCTGACTGAGAAGACGCAAATCCTGCAGCGATGGGCCGAGCATTTCCGAGGCGTCCTCAACCGCCCCTCCGTCATCTCCGACGCCGCCATCGAGCGCTTGCCGCAAGTGGAGACCAACGTGGACCTCGACCTCCCGCCATCTCTCCAGGAGACCATCAGGGCCGTGCAACAGCTCTCCAGCGGGAAAGCACCCGGATCGGACGCTATCCCTGCTGAGGTCTACAAGCACGGAGGTCCCCAACTAATAGATCACCTGACTGCGCTCTTCCAAGAGATGTGGCGTCAAGGTGAAGTCCCGCAAGATTTCAAAGACGCAACCATTGTGCATCTCTACAAGCGCAAATGGAATCGCCAAGTCTGCGACAATCACCGCGGCATCTCCCTACTGAACATCGGCGGGAAGATCTTCGCTCGCATCCTGCTCAACCGCCTCAATAACCATCTGGAACAGGGCCTTCTGCCGGAAAGCCAATGCGGCTTCCGTCG